GCATTCTAAAAGATGGGTGGGGGCGGGGAGAGGGACACCTGTGTGATACACCTTTACCTGATCATCTGTTGTTGGGTGCTGTCAAGTGGATTCTGACTCATAGCGACCCCGTGTGACAGAGTACAGCCGCACCATAGGGCTTTCTAGGCTGTCATCTTTAAAGGAGCGGATTGCCAGGTCTTTCTTCCGCAGAGCTGCTGGGTGGGTTCAAACCGCCAACCTTTCAGTTAGCTGCCGAGTGCTTAACCGTTTGCACCTCCAGGGCTCCTTTAATCTAGGATGGAGAAATCTAATTCCGGGTTTGTGGAGAAACAAAAGAACTACCTACCCCTGAATTTCTTGAGTCCTAGGTCTCAGGGATGAAACTCCAATTTATCAAGTGTGTGAACGTGGTCTAGAATTTTCCGCATCATTTTCGTGCATAATCACACATCTCAGTTTCAGCTTCAGCAACCAATTTGACATTTGTTGCTGCACATTCTGATGGCAACGTGATGGATCGCTGTTAGACGGCCTCTGTCGCCACGGTCTCGCAACTTCCACCAAAAGACTGGGTGGGACTGTGCAAATGATGTGCTTATGGCCCAGCAAGGGGATTGGATAGTTTGCTAATAATGTAAATAAGATGTATGGCACCTTTGTGGGGGTGGTACCATGCAAACATGGTGTATGGAACCCTAATGAGGGGATTGGTCAGTTTTGCCATCCTGCTAGGCTTAAAAGAGAGCCAATTCCAGAGCAGAGAGGAGACCTCATGACCATCAAGAAAGAAAGAGCCAGGAGTGGAGCTCGTCCTGTGGACCCGAGGTCCCTGCCCTGGGAGCCTCCTAGACCCAGGAGACAGAGAGCGAGAGCTGTAACACTGGAGAGATGGTGAGAAGCAGCAGCAGAGAAACAGCAGCAGCAGAGGCAGCAGAACCAGGAGACCGGCAGGAGACGGCATGGTGGGTGTGCCAGCCCATGGAGCGAGAAGGCTGAGCGCCTTCAGGCAGTAAGCTTGCTGGTGGAGTGGGGAGCCTCTGGGCACTTACCGGCAGAGCTAGAAGAGCTTTGTAACATTTGCCTGAGCAGAGCAGAGGCTGGGCCAGAGAGAGGCCAAGGGCTGTCCTGATCGAAGAACTGTATCCTGAGTCATTCCTGAACCTGAATTCTAACCTATTACTTCCCTAATAAACCCTATAATTGTGAGTATTGTCTGTGAGTTCTGTGTGGCCATTGCAATGAATTATCAAACCCAGCAGAGAAGCAGAGAGTGCCATGGGAGGGACGGTTGGTGTCAGAATTGGTAAAGATGGTGGAGAGAGGAGGCTTGTCTGATCTTCACCTCATAGGAATCAGCCTTGGGCTGTTGATGCTACTCTTGATTCTCCTCCTCCCTTGTGAAGTTAGAGGCAGTCAGACGCCACCCCTGCCATGCCATTTTCACACTGATCAACCCACGTTTATTCTCTATATAGTTACAGGTTCATAACATTGCACAAGTTAAGATAGGATGATTTGCGGCATCCTCCCTTGCTATTCTCGACCATGGCTTTCTTCTGGAGCAGTTGTTCTGGCCTGTGCCCACCAGCAATGTGGGCAATGGGTCGTAAGTATTGTTGGGGCCGTTAGACTGTTTTCCATCCTCAGAGGTGCACTTCTGTGTGGCTTATGGCCTGTGATTAGCTTCCGCTTTCCTAATGTTGGAACCCTGGTGGTGTAGTGGTTAAGAGTTTGGCTGCTAACCAGAAGGTCAGCACTTCGAATCCACCAGCTGCTCCTTGGAAACCCTGTGGGGCAGTTCTGCTCTGTCCTGTAGGGTCTCTGTGAGTCGGAATCGACTTGATAGCAACTGTGTGTGTGTGTGCGTGTTCCTAATGTTAAGCTGTGATTGATGTCTGTTGGTCTTCTCTACAGAAGAAAAGTAGAGACATTTAGTAAGTTGGAATGCTGTGGATCAAGGTCAGAAAGGCAACTTATGACTTGTGGGCTTTGTTTTTGATGCTGTTCAGAAAAAGGAGTTGATACATTTCGCATCAGAACCACCACCTGCTGTGAAATAGCCCTAAAGGATGTTTTTAGTTGCTACCAAGTCTTTTCCAACTCATGGCGACCCCATCTGTGCAGCATAGAATTGCTTAATAGAATTTTCAAGACTGTGACCTTTCGGAAGCAGATCACCAGGCTTGTCTTCTGAGGGGGCTCTGGGTGGGTTCAAACTGCCCATGTTTGGGCGTGAGTGCTTAACCGCTTGTGCCACCCGGGGACCCAACCTAACGGCGAGGGTGGCCTTCTTCGGAGCTTCCTAAGAGGTCTGTGTTTCTCACCTCTTAGGTTACTGTGTTCACCTTAATTACGTTAGAAATGCAGCCATCATGTGTATAATACATACTGAGAGGTGGAATTGGAAGAGAACTTTGTAGCAGGGAGGAAGGTAAACGAGCTCAAGTCTCAGGAAAGTCTCTCCTGCTGCTTGTTTTGTATTTTTAACTTGGGGTTCCTGGTTTCTGAGTGCTGAATGTGCAGTAGACAGACCTCTACAGTGAAAAAGAGAACAGCCCAGGAAGGAGAATGGAGACTTTGTGTGAAATGCACCAGCGCTGCTCAGAAGTCCACAGAGAAGCTGGTTGATCTGAGCTGTTGGCTGAGGCAGCAGGTGCTTTGAATAGAAAAAAAAAAATGTTTTTAATCAGCCTCAGATAACTGAACACCTTGTTCTTATATGAGAGGGATGGGGTGCAAAATAAACATTATAGATAGAAATCCTCCTGCCCTTCCTGTAGGAGCCCTGGTGGTGCAGTGGTTAAGTGCTCGGCTGCTAACCGAAAGGTCGGCCGTTCAGACCCACCCAGCGACTCTGTGGGAGAAAGACCTGGCTATCGGCTCCTGTAAAGATGACAGCCTAGAAAACCCTGTGGGGCAGTTTTACTCTGTCACGTAGGATTGCTATGAGTCGGAATCGACTCGGCGGCACCCCATGACGATAACAGCCCTGCCTGTAGCTCACCACAGGCTGCTGTGATTCTTGTTACTTCACACGTATTCACCTCGGTTTCAGCCCTCTCTTCAGGGGGAAGGGATGTCCTTCCAGGAAGGGAAGGAGAACGGCTGGATTCGGTGGTGACTGGAACCATCTTTTAAGGTATATACAGGTAGTTAGCATAGGCTTTGCTTTTGCCACAGCCAATGTGCTGATGTACGCTGGGGACAAAGATACAGGTTTCCCAGGGTTTGACTGTGTGGGGCGTAGGTCAGCTCTCAGGGACGTTGGGGTAATTCTGAGGACCTTGGCTTCGTGTCTTGCAGTGTGTGAACTTCTAGAGTGTTTTCGCTGCTTTCCCATGCTCTCTAGCCCCTCTCCGGAAGAAGCTCAGGCCGCTCGGGAAGCAGTAGACCATGTTGTATAAGGCATTTAAGGAACCGCTGTTTCGGCCTCTGCAGTAACTGGGACCATTAGGATGTGCAGTTATCTTTGTGCTCAGAGTGTTTTCTGGACACATCTGTATTTTCTGTTTGTGAGGGTTTGAACTTAAGTTCCGTTGACTGCCCGTTTCTCTGTGATGTCTCCTCGTGTCTTAGTCTCTTACTGCTGCTGAAACAGAAATACCTCAAGTGGGTGGCTTTAAAGAACAGAAATTTATTTTCTCACAGTTTAAACCAAACCCAACCCGTGGCCGTCAAGTTGACTCCAATTCACAGTGACCGTATTTGACAGAGTAGAACTGCCCTATGTGGTTTCCAAGGAGCGGCTGGTAGATTCGAACTACTGACCTTTTGGTTAGAAGCCTGAGCTCTTAACGGCTGCCCACCAACACTTACTATATGCCAGTCACGGATCTAAAAACTTTAAAACAGCTTTATGGAAATATAAATCACATGCCATACAGTTCATCCATTTAAAGTGTACCATTCAGTGTTGTTGTTTTTTTAAATATATTCTCAGAGTTGGGCACCCATCCCCACAGTCAGGTTTAGAGCGTTTTCCTCACCTGAAGGAAGTCTGGTAGCCGTGAGAGTCCCTCCCCATTCCCTCCTTTCCCTCCGCCTTTGGCACTCACTCAGCTGTGTGCCGTCTCTGTGGGTTTGCCTGTTCGGAACATTTCAGCTCCGTGGAGTCATACAGTAGGCGGCCTGGTGTATCTGGGTTCTGTCGCATAGCCAATGTTTTCAGGGTTTATCCCTGATGTAGCGTGTGTCAGTACTCCGTTCCTTTGTATGGCTGAATGATATGTCATTGCATGGATAGACCACATGATCCATTCATCAGTCGATGGACAGTTGATCTGTTTCTAATTTTTGGCTAGTATGAATAATGCTGCTGTGAACGTTTGTGTACAAGTTTATGTGTGAACATATGTTTTCATTTCTCTTGGGTATATACCCAAGAGTGGAATTTTTGGGTCGTATGGTAACTCTGTGTTTAACCTGTTGAGGAACTGCCCGACTGTTTCCAAAGTGGTTGCACCGTTTCACGTTCCCACCAGCAATGTAGAAGGTTCCAGTTTCTGCACATCCTTACCAATGCTTATTATCGTGTATCTTTTTGATCCCTGGATTCTCATACTGTTGTTTTAGTGTTGATTCTCAATGTCGCTAAAACCAGGAAAACAAACCCCACAGGACAGAGTAGAACTGCCCCATAGGGTTTCCCAGGCTGTAAATCTTTACTGAAGCAGACCTCCACGTCTTTCTCCCCTGGATTGGCTGATGGGTTTGAACTGCTGACCTCTTGATTAGCAGCCAAGCGCTTTAACCCCAGCACCACCAGGGCTCCTTAAAACCAGAAAGGAATGCGTATCTTGGTCCACAAGGGGTTTATTAAATTAATTTTGTTTAGAGGCAGCAAGTTCTTCTTCTGGTACTTGCTGCAGAAGTTGGCTGTGGCGTTGGAGTGCATGAGCTAACATGGGCGGGAATGAGACGTCCACAGCATTGGTTAGAATTCAGGTGGTGCCGATGGGCTTAAAAATGTTTTCCTCACCTTTCCTCCTCCTCTTTACTTTCTCTCCTTCCTTTCCCAGGGATCTGGAAGCCAGAGCACAGAAGGAGTTCTTCCGGGCTTTCTTCAGGTTGCCGAGGAAGGAGAAGCTGCATGCGGTTGTCAACTGTTCCCTGTGGACGCCCTTTAGCCGTTGTCACACCGTGGGAAGGATGTTTACCTCTGATAGCTACATCTGCTTTGCTAGCAAAGAAGACGGTTGCTGTAACGTTGTCCTGCCACTCAGAGAGGTAGACGCTGCCTTTCACCTCTGCTGGGTTTGTTTTAGCTGCTGAAGCCAGCCTTTTGTCGTTTTAACCAGCAGGTGCTGCTGGGAGGTAGGTCCAGAAAGAGATGTAACACAGCAAGCCTTCGTCATCTAAAGATGGACGTCTGGATGCTCTGGCTTGTTGAGGGAAGCATGGCCTGCGTTGGACCAACACCCTTTTGGCCTTTGCTTTTTCTGTTGCTGCTGTGGCAACCGAAAATTTGCATAGGCGTGGATTGGTGAAAACAGGGTAGTCTGACCTCCACAGTATTGATAAAGCTGTTATGAAAAAGTATGCTTACCCACGTGAACCACAGTCTCCTCTAGCCCGAGACCAAAAGAACTAGATGGTGCCCAGCTACCGCCACTGATCGTTCTGACCAGAGACACAATAGAAGGTCCTAGTTAGAATGGGAGAAAAATGTAGAACAAAACTCAAATTCATAAAAAAGACCAGACTTACTGGACTGATAGAGACTGGAGGAACCTCTGAGACTATTGCCCTAAGACACCCTTTTAATCTGGAACTGAAGCCACTCCCTGAGGTCACCTTTCAGCCAAATAATAGATAGGCCTATAAAATAAACAGTAACACCTGTGAGGAACGTGCTCCTTAGCACAATCAACTATACGAGACCAAACGGTCAAAATTTACCCAGAAGCAAAGATGAGAAGGCCGGTTGGGGCAGGGAAACTGAATGGATGGAAACGGGACAACCCGAAAAATCAAACCCGTTGCCGTCGAATTGATTCGGACTCATAGCGACCCTATAGGACAGAGTAGAACTGCCCCATAGGATTTCCAAGGAGGGGCTGGTGGATTTGAACTGCTGACCTTTTGGTTAGTGGTGGAACACTTAACCACTGCACCACCAGGGCTCCGGAAGTGGGACAGGCAGGGTGACAATGGTGTGAGTGCCGACACATTACAGGGATTGTAACCAATGTCGCAGACAATTTATATATAAATTAGTGAATGGTAATCTAATTTGCTAGGTGAACTTTCACCTAAAACACAATGAAATATTTAAAAAAAAAAAAAAAAGTATATGCTTAACAATGAAGGTTTTTCCAAAAGCTCTTAGGAATGAGTCCTCCCCTTTTTACCCACCAAAAAAGAAAAGAAAAAAGGCAACTTATGAAAAGCTTCGCCTTTTGAAAATAAATGCCAAACGACTTGGCTTTTATCCTCTCCTTGAGCATCTGTTAAAAATACTTCTTTTAATATGTATCAGGTCACTTCTTAGTGTGTTGTTGTCATTAGGTGCCACCGAGTTGATTGTGACTCCGTGACCCTATAGGACAGAGGAGAACTGCCCCATAGGGTTTTCTAGGCTGTAATCTTTATGGGAGTGGATTGTCAGGTCTTTCTCCCACAGAACTGCTGGGTGAGTTCAAATCGTCAACTTTTTAGTTACCAACCGAGCACTTTAACTGCTGTGCCACCAGGGCTCCTTCTTCTTACTATAAACCAAAAAACCAAACACACTGCTATTGAGTTGAATGCAACTCTTAGTGACCCTATAGGACAGAGTAGAACTGCCCCACAGGGTTTCCAAGGCTGTGATCTCTACGGAAGCAGACTGCCATATTTTTCTCCCTCGGAGCAGCCTGTGGGTTTGAAGCACAGATCTTTCATTTAGCAGTTAGCAGAATGCTTTAACCAGTACGCCGCCAGGGGTACCTTCGTTGACTTCCAGTTCTAAGCATCTCAGTCCTTGGATTTCTAGACAGTACCTTGCTTCTCTCGCTGCGAGAAGAGCCAGTGACTGTGACACATCATGGCCACAATAGTGTTGCTACTTGCAACATAGGGATGGGCTGACTGAGTGCTGTTCTTTGGAAAAACTCAAAGCCTTGTCGTCCGTGTTCTCTTCTACCTCCATGTCATTGTTCTGTGGTCACTGTACACATGCTCATCCTTGCGGGTTGAGTGGGAAGTCCAGCAGCTGTCCGCGTGTACTTTTCATCTGTTGCGCCAGTTCCTAACTGCAGTTATTTGCCTTTGCCTTCTCTTTTGGGCTGTTTTCTGCATATGTAATGTCTTCTTTCTCTCTCTCTCTCCATCTCCTTGTGTGTGTTCCCCTAAAACAGGTGGTGAGCATTGAGAAGACAGAGAACACAAGTCTGCTGCCGAACCCCATCATCGTCAGCATCCGGAGCAAGGTGGCCTTCCAGTTCATTGAGCTCAAGGACAGGGACAACTTGGTGGAGAGTCTCCTGATGAGGCTGAAGAAGGTCCATGCCAACCAGCCTGTGCATTATGACACCTCAAGAAATGAAGACACGGTATGGTGCTTGAAAGCAACAGATTCTGTAAACTGAAAATCCCTCGGTTCACCACCTATAGGGTCGCTGTGAGTTGCAGTTGACTCGACGGCAACTGGGTTTTTTTAGAGCAGTGGTCTCCAAAGCGGGCTTATATAGAACGATGAGCTACTGAGGTACGAGAAAAATGTGTTAGCGATTCTTGGATCAGTGTGTCAGACTGTCTGCCGTCCGTTATCCCTTCTGTTACACTGAGTGTCCTGAGTGGGTGTTCCACAGCTTATAGGGGTTGATGAGACACCCACATAGGCTATAGGGGTTAATGAGACACCACCCGCAGGTTACAGAGGTTGATGAGACACCCCCCACAGGTTATAGGGGTTAATGAGACTCTCCCTCACAGGTCATAGGAATTGATGAGACACCCTGCATAGGTTATAGGGGTCGATGAGACACCCCTTATAGATTATAGGGACTGATGAGACACCCCCTGCAGGTTATAGGGGTTGATGAGACATCCCCTACAGGTTATAGAGGTTCATGAGACAATCCCCACAGGTCAGAGGAGTCAGCGGGGTGCCCCTCTGCATGTTAGAAGAATTGATGGGCTATCACCCACATTTGAGAGAGGTTGATGAACACTCACAGGTTAGAAGGGTTGACCAGGCTCCCTCCTACAAGTCGGAGGGATTGACGAGGTACCTCCCACATTTGGAGGCATTGGTGGAACATCCCTCTCGTACGTTAGAGCGTTGATAAGGATGAAGCTATTTGGGGGCAAAAGTAACTTGCTGAAAGAGAGGACCGTCGTCGTTCTTAAGGCTGGACAGCTGCAAAAATGGACCCAGGTCTTCCATTGCCCAGTCCGCTTGTTCTACTACATCCATCCCTCCCATCCTTAACCTCACCCAGAGCAGTGATAGGGAGGAAAGGAGACAGAGAACCTCTCTATGTGCTAGTTGTTTCCAGAGGTGGTCATCCTCCGTAGGGAAGATGAGGGGACACTGAGGTTGAACACTTTCCAGCTCTCTGGCCACCACTGTGGACCCCTGCGCTGTGCACGAGCAGCATAGCCTCACCAGGAAGACTCAGTCTGGATCATTTCTTCCTAAGGATCGGGTCCTGTTGGAGTTACTGTTAGTCAGGTTTTTCCCTTAAGTCTTAAAGAGATAAAAACCAAAAGCAAACGAGTTGATTCTGCCTCAGGGAGACCTCAGGTGTGTCCGAGTAGAACTGTGCTCCATCGAGTTTCCAGTGGCTGATTTTTGGGAAGTAGATCTTCAGGCCTTTTTCCAAGAAGCCTGTAGGTAGACTTGAGTCACCAGCCTTTCTGTTAGCAGCTGAGTGCTTAACCGTTTGCACCCTGTGTTTATATTCGTTCATCCAAAGGCAGAACAACAACTATTCCATGTTAAAAGCAGTGACTTTCTTTGTTCTGTCTCTCTGTCTTTTGTTGGCTGTGCAGACTTCGCCTGTGTTTCATTCCACAAGCATGCGTGACGATCACAAGTTTGGGGATCTTGAAATGGTGTCTTCTCAACATAGCGAGGAAAGTGAGAACGAGAAGAGCCCACTGCTCAACCCTGAGGCCCTGATAGCCATCTTCCAGCAGTCCGGCAGCCAGAGCCTGGACTCCCGCATGGTGGGTGAGGTGTGGCAGAGCTGGCCGTTAGGATGGGTGCTCTTTCCCAGTTGTCTGATCTGCTAGCATGGCTCCAGCAGCGCCCCAGGAGAGCAGGTGTGGCTCTGGGTGGCCAGGCAGCGTTGGGTGGTTAGGGCACCTCCTGCCCCATTCCCCTCATTGGCAAAGGTGAAAGGCTTGGTGGATGCCAGTTGCCTGAGCAAGTCTGGCTGAGTTGAGGATGTGGTCCAAGGGACCGGGAGTGGATGGCTCCTCATCTGCCCCTTCAATGGTTCTTTGATGCAGCTCTCGGCTGCATGGCCTGAGAAGCCATCAGTGCTGTCCCAGGTGGGTTTTCCCAGATGCAGAACAAGTCCTTCGGCCATTGTAGATCCTCCTTTTTAGCCAGTGGTGTCTGGGTGTGTGTTCCTTGCTACTGTATCTCTTTTTAGAGCCAAGGGCCACCATCTTCTACTTTTACTGAGCTGAAAGTATTTTTATTACATTTGCTTATAGTTTCCCTCTGTAGAGAGGGTTTGAGGCATAGATAGTAAGGTAAATAGCCTAGAAATTGTACTTTGAAATGGTGCCATGGGAAGTAGGAGGCCAGGGTTGCCAACCGTAGATGCCAGGTGGGCTGTGAACATTATTAGTTTACCTTTCGTTGTTCTTCTTGGCTCCTTCATACTTGACTGATGGTTTTATTTATTCAGAATGGAACCTTCTCACGTGCTCTACGTATAGATACTCACTGAATTCTTTTTGACTAAATGCAAGAAAATATCAAATATATGTATATAATTCTCCCGTTACTGGAGCATACAAATAATTGAATACATATATAAATATCCTCTTGAAAAGGCACTTTGAAATCCCCGCCATCCAGGGATAATTTTAAAATATTTTCAGTTGCCTAGGGATTGACACACCCCTCCACGTGTTAGAGGAGTTGAGGGGATACCCCACATGTTAGAGGGGTTGGTGGGGCACCCCCACATTAGAGGACTTGATGGGGTACCCCCATATATTAGAGGAGTTGATGGGGTACCCTCACATTTTAGAGGGGCTGATGGGGGACCCCCACTGTTAGAGGGGTTGATGAAGTACCTCAAATGTTAGAGGGGTTGATGGGGTACCTCACTTGTTAGAGGGGTTGATGGGGTTCCCTCAACATTAGAGGGGTTGATGGGCACCCCCCACGTTAGAAGGGTTGACAGGGTGCCCCCATGTGTTAGAGGGGTTGATGAGGTACTCTCACATGTTAGAGGGGTTGATAGGGTACCCCCACATGTTAGAGGGGTTGATGGGGTACCCTCACATGTTAGAGGGTTTGATAGTGTACCCCCACATGTTAGAGGGTTGATAGTGTACCCCTACATGTTAGAGGGGTTGATGGGTTACCCCACATGTTAGGGGGTTGAAGTGTACCCTCACACATTTAGAGGGGTTGATGGGCACCCCCCATGTTAGAAGGGTTGACAGGGTGCCCGCACGTGTTAGAGGGGTTGATGGGCCACCTCCCTCGTAGGTTAGATGAGTTGACCAGGCTCGCTCCTGCAGGTATCTTTCTCGTTTCCGATCATGTAAATAATGTAATTTTTTCAGGTTAGTTTTTTCTCTGGCTGTCAGGAAGCTCAGGGCAAATTGTGATGTCCCCTTGTTCCCTCTGCCCTCTGAGCCAAGCTGTGCTGTGACTGCCAGCTTGCTGTCACCACCCTCAGGAAGCTGTCCGTGATATCACCTCTACCATCGCCACCCTCCCAGCTCCTCTGTGCTTGCTGCTTCTGTGTTTGGACGTGCGTATTCTTATTTCCAGCACTGTCAGAGAGATTGCATTTTATCTGTGTAGATGCTGGGCTGTGGGCTCGTCGAGGGCCAGTACTCTGTATTGCTCATCTTTGTAGCCTCTGTCTAGTGGAGGGTAACACACGTTTGTGGAAGGAATACAGGCTTCATGGCTTGTGATTGCTGGTTTCTGTGTTAAGAGGGGCAGTGCTCTCTCCGTTATGCTTTGTGGATGGACTGTGGTGTGGGGCATGGGCAAGCTTCTTCATCCATTAAGAATCTTTCCACTTCCAGTCCAGAGAACAGATAAAAATAAGTCTGTGGAACGACCACTTTGCGGAATACGGCAGAACCGTGTGTATGTTTCGCACAGAAAAGATCCGGAAGCTCGTAGCCATGGGGATCCCTGAATCCTTACGTGGCAAGCTATGGCTGCTTTTTTCAGGTAAGTGTTTCTGCTGTCTTTGGGCTAAATGCTGTTTTTGGAACTGACTCAGGATCAGAGGCTCCAAACTAAACATTGTGTGTGTGTGTGTGTGTGTGTGTGTGTGTGCGCTGATGAAGTCATCTACTTCTGGGTTATTACTGTGCAGTTCCCAGCTAAGGACCTCAGAAACCTGACTGTTCTAGCTGTGGGACCTTGGTCTGGTTGCCTGCAGTCTCTGGGCTACAGTGTTCTCCGTAAATGTGGAGATCTGGGCCATTTAAAAATGGCTTTATACATAGTGACGAGAATTCTGTTAACAACTCCCTTGAAGTGAAGTATCTTTATAGGCATGAGCTCTGAAATAGACTAAGGAATCTTCATAAATTGTGCCCTGGTGGCACAGTGGTTAAGCACTCAGCTGCTGACCGAGTGGTCGATGGTCCAAACCCGCCAGCCACTCCTCGGGAGAAAGCCATGGTGGTCGGCTGCCGTAAAGATTACAGCCTTGGAAACCTCATAGGGCGGTTCTGCTCTGTCCTGTAGGGTTGTTAGGAGTCAGAACCGACTCAGAGGCAGTGCATTTGATGTTTTTTGTTTGTTTGGTATCGTGTCATTGAAATAAATTCCTGAGTATAGTTTCTGTCTGTCCCTCCTTGGTTGAAGACAAATAGCACCCATAAGAGGCAACATTGTGGAAGATTTGTCTTTTGTCCCCGTTTCTTCTTTCTACGTCTGACTCCTTCAGCGACAACCTCGTCCAGCCTCAGAGCCTCCCTCTGCCACTCTTTGATGGTTTCTGGGAGGCCCTCATCAGGACACTTGATGGATGATTTCTGCAGGAAATTACCTTAGTCAGGATTCCTCTGTCTCTCCCTGAGCGTGAATTTGAGAAGGGGAAAGGCCCCTGTAGTCGTGGCCTTTCTGCTCCTGAAAGACATGCTGATTTGCCCTTTCAGGGTGCTGTGGGAGGCACGACATTGAGGCCCTCGGGTCCCAGGTGACCCTGCTGTGTTCACGTCAGCAGTGAGCCTTCTGAGGACTGAGCCTCGGGACCGTCCCTCACTGCTCACCTGTTCTGGGCCCTGAGCATTGTCTTGTCCTACTTCATGTAGGTTCCTCACCCCCAATCAGCTCTCTCCTCCCTCTTCCCTTTTTCTCCCCTAAAATAGTCCAGCCCCACTTCCCTTCTCCATGCTGGAAAGGCCCAGATACAGATTTCCTGCTTCCTGGCATACTTGATGGTATTGAACTTGGTTGATATTTATTTATCTAATTTGTGTGTGTGTGTGTGTGAAAATATACAGAGCAAAACATAACACCGATTCAATAATTTCTACATGTACAATTTAGTGACACTGATTACATTCTTCAAGTCATGCAACCATTCTCACTGTCCTTTTCCAGATTATTCCACCTCTGTTAAGGTACACTCACTGCCCCTAAGTTTCTCATCTAACCTTTCGAGTTGCTGTTGTCAGTTTAATTCTGTATAGATGGTTCTTTAAAACAGCACACTGCTCAAGGCCGATGTTCTTTACTAATTCAGCTGAACTACTGTTTGTCTTAAAGATGACTTTAGGGGATAGTTTTGGTTTAAGGTTTGAAGATTATCTTAGGGCAGTAGTTTTGGGGAGTCATCCAGCCTCAGTGGCTCCAGACAGCTTGGGTTTCATGATAATTTGAATGGTTGATATTTAATTTTACTTCTTGTACCATTGCTGACCTTGGCTCACATGCTCAGACATCCCTCCTGCACCCTGGCTTCTTTCTGCTGCTGATTGTCAGGTGCCTACCAAAGACACACCATCAGGACGCTTCCTTTTCAAATTACAAATGTCTCCTGTGTCTTTGTATTTAATAAAAACAGTGTATATTCATAGCTGGAAAATACGGAAGAGCAAGCAAAGAAAGTAACAATACTCATTATCCCACCACCTAAAGATGACACCTGTCAGTGCCATTAGTAGGTATTCTTTTGGGTCTCTTGAAGGCACATGTACACACACCCAGCCTTTTTATAACTCTTTCAGCACCCAATTATTTACCTCTCTGAATTTTTTGTTGATACCATGTGTTTGTTTTCATTAATGGAAGCATGCTGAAGCATTGAATGTGTGTTTATTTTTGGTAGGTAGTATAAAACAAAAGAAAAAAACCAAGCCTGTTTCCACCGAGTCGATTCTGACTCATAGCGACGCTGTAGGACAGAGTAGAACTGCCCCATAGGGTTTCCAAGGAGCAGCTGGTGGATTTGAACTGCCGACCTTTTGGTTAGCAGCCAAACACTTAACCACTGTGCCACCAGGGCTCTGGTAGGTAGTATGGGTTTTGAGAACTATCATGTGGGCATACATTTTCCCACAAAATGCTGACAGAAGTCTGGCAGCGTGTTTAGCGGGCTCCATCTCTCCCAAGGATCTTTGGAAGGTTGCCCCTTCCATTTTGTTATATTGATTTTCCAAATATGACACACACCCACACACACACAACCAAACCCACCAGAGCTCCCTAACTATCACACAGGAAGCCACAAATATGCTTTCAAGGCTTATCTAGCTGTGCAAAAGCCAAAAGAGACAGAGTTTGACTGAATCTACATTTCCTGGATGCACTGCCTCATATCTAAGGCTTCTACCTTAGTGAATTTTCACCAAAGAATGTCTCTTTCATTTTTCACTGTTACACAAACCCCACTGGGGAGCAGCAAATACTTCTAGTGCGACAAGTAGCCCCCCAAAGAACCTGAGAGCCCGAAAATGTTTGTGGGGTGCTTCTGTCCCAATAGGCATGAAAGGGATAACCTACTTAGTCACTTCCTATAGGACAGTCTCTTCATAGTGATCAAATGCTTCCTTTGCTGACAGAAGTATTACTGTAGCTGTTTAAGCTGTTGCTCAATGAGCAAGACAGCTTTTAGTATAAATGCTGATTATTACTCATGCATGCCATAGTGATTGTTTAACAGATATGATGGGGATCTCAGTCAGGCATTGCAGATGGGAGAGTTGAAGAGGAGGTTCTTTCACTAAACACATCCAGAATTTTAAAACATTAACTAGCAGTTAAAGGCAGAATCGGCCCCCTTTCTGCAACCCCTGGCCCTCCTGGTATCTCCCTCCGTGAGGGTTACATTCGTACTGGAGGGAGCCCACCATCCCGCCAGCGCCCGTGGAATTTTGTCGTTAACTGCGGTCAAGTCGGCCCCTGGCTCGTGGTGACCCCATGCACAAGGGTATGAAGTGCTGCCTGGTCCTGCACCATTGCCAGGACCAGTTGTCGATTAGACTGTTGTGATCCATAGGGTTTTCATTGGATAATTTTCAGATGTAGATCACCAGACTTCTCTTCCTATTCTGTCTTCATCTGGAAGCTCCACTGAAACCTGTTTAGCATCATAGCAACATGCAAGCCTTCACTGACAGACGGGTGGTGGCTGTGCATGAGGTGCACTGGCCGGGAATTGAACTTGGGTCTCCCACGTGGAAGGCGAGAATTCTACCACTGAACCCAAAACCAGCCCTGGTGCTGGCTGATGAGTAAATCAAATCCTCACACAGCATGGATGCATCCCTGATGTTGGGCTGCTGGGCAGACAACAAACCTGTGGAGACCTGGGCTGGTGCACGGAGTTTTCTGTGCTTGGTCTCCCGGCTTTGGTTTACACGTCACGAGCCCAGCCTTCAGAGCTTCAGGCTGGCACTCATTGGCTCGGTTATAATTAATGGTTAGCTTTATTTAATCACAGTTACACCTTCTTATGCACTTTACACACAGGTGCTCAGTAATCTCTTGTTGAACCAATGCATGACCTTCTGTACATATATATATATATAACCTCCTCCTGTTGTCGGGAAATACAATGTATGAAAAGCAAATTAATAAAACTATTTCTAGTAGAACATTTTCCCCCACTATGTAAGGTTATTCTTAGAAAAGCCACATAATTTCTTTTTTTCTTTTTCTTTCTGATTTTGCGATAGACCACACGGCAGAAATGAACTTTGGTTGTGTGGTCTCAAAACATTTTTTATCCCTTAAGTAACTAGATCCCATGAGGTTCTTTGACAGCACCAGCCCTTTCCCCACATTGACACCATTTTGGTAATCATCTCTCTCTTAAAAATTGCTTTTAAACCCGTCAGACGCTGTCACAGACCTCGCCTCGCATCCTGGTTACTATGGGAATCTGGTGGAGGAATCCATGGGGAAGTGTTGCCTGGTGACGGAGGAGATCGAACGCGACCTGCACCGCTCCTTACCGGAGCACCCCGCCTTCCAAAACGAAACGGGAATCGCTGCTTTGAGGAGAGTCCTGACAGCCTATGCCCACCGGAACCCCAAAATTGGATACTGCCAGGTGAAGTTGTGTGCACCGAGGGGCAGAGATCCTCTGGGGGTGGACCCTTCTGTTCTCTGCTCTTTTCAGCCGTCCAGTCCTGAGGGCTGTTTTGTGCGAAGGCACTGTGCTTGGTGCTGTGAGCAAACTGTGGTCCCTGCCCTGAAGGAACGTTTCTAACATGGACGGCATATCTAATAAGGCCATCATCTTTGTATAGTCAGACCGGCTAGTAATTAAGATTTGAGAAGTTGTGTAGTGCCTGAGGAGAGAAAGGAACACGCCGAGTTGCTGTCGGCTCCAGGCCAGATCCAGTCCTCACTGCCCCTCTTGAGCCTCCACGTGGGACAGGATTACTATAACTTCCTGGGAGCTTTATTTTTTCTAGCTCTGTATAGAAATTATTGGGATGACTTAAAAAATGGCAGTGCTGTTGGGGAGGAGAAAGATGTTTAGGGCAGATGACTTTTCTTCAAGAAACACAAGTGAGACATCCTCTGAACAGTTCCTGAGTTCAGGGGTGTGGCGAACCAGCAACAAGATAAAAATCAGTAAATAAAACAACAAATAAGCCAACACGAGATTGGATGAGAGACGTCTCTGACATTTCAAAGAGTAAGATTTCGAACTTTGCTCTCCTGTGAGTGAGCAAAATCTGAGTGAATAAAGTTGTGTGTGTGTGAGAGAGAGAATATGTACGCAGAGAATAGCTGGGTTGATCAAAGCCTGAGGCGTGCTCCACAGCTCAGTCCAGCACTACCAGGCAGAGGACAGTAACTCCGTGGTAGCTAATTGCTAGTCTAATCAGTCTTGTGAGGCCCATATTGATATGGTCGTTTCATATCGTCAGTACGGCTGGGATATGCTGTTTTCTCTCACCTGCAAAGCCTTTAATTTTGTGGCTCATTGGGCTTGTACATTTTGAAATCTCTGTGGTCTCACGTGATGTGGCCAGTAACTTTCTGCTCCTCTCTGAACTCCGAGCAGTCTATGAATATCCTGACCTCAGTCCTGCTGCTGTACGCCAAAGAAGAGGAAGCGTTTTGGTTGCTGGTTGCTGTGTGTGAGCGGATGTTGCCCGACTACTTCAACCACCGAGTGATAGGTAAGCTGCCCCCTCTGCTTGCTCTACGTGGAGAATAAGGACAAAGCCTGGGGAAAGAAACTCATCACGGTCCTAGTTACAGAATCCCTCTGTGCCGCTCAGCTAATCTCTGCGCAAATACGCTTTAACTCTTGAATTTGCAAAACTAACTCCTGTAGTGCCCTGTACAGCTCTGGCGGAATGGTGGAATGACATAACTCGGATACTCTCCTGCTCTAAAACCTGATGCCGTTGAGTTGATTCTGACTCGTGGCGACCCTATTGGACAGAGTAGAACTGCCCCCATAGAGTTTCCAAGGAGCGGCTGGTGGATTTGAACTGCTGACCTTTTGGTTAGCAGGCTCCTCCTACTACAAACACCTACACATGTTGGATAACTGAAAGCACATTATTCTAGATGGACAGCTGAACTCACAAGGAGGAATTCCTAGGCTCAAGAAACAAGTAGAGAAGTGGAAAACGGAGTGGTTTTGCGCTGATGCTGTGGCCTGGGAAGAGGGGAGGATATGTTGCTCTTGGTAACCCAGGGGCCTTGTATAGGCAGGAGATGCTCCGGTTCCTTTAGAGGAGAGGGGCTGGGTGGGACTGAGACCTTGGCACAGTGTTGGAGACCCTCTAGGTCTGTGCCCTCAGTGAAAGGACAGACTTGGAAAAAAATCCCCCCACCTGGCTAAGGAGATAGTAAGGAAGCATATTTGTTTCCGCGTGGGCCCTGAGTAAATCCTCCACGTTGTGCCTCTGTCTTTGGTGTGGTTGGGATCTCAACTTGCCATGTTTCTATGGTCCAGCAACCTCCTAGTGGAGAAATTAACATAAAGGTTGTTTCTGGTTGATGATACCCTTAGGGACACTTTTTGGTAATCTAGGTGAGAGATGGAGTGGCCTAAAATTGGAGTGGGGGCACTGGGGACAGAAAGAGAAGAACCAATGTGAGGGAGAATTTGGCAGTGACTGTGTGTGGGGGCAGGGCAGGAAGAAGAGCCTTGGAGACTGATGGCTTGAGAACTGAGGGCAAGTGAGGACTCCAGGACTGTGGAGGAGCAGGAGGGGTGGTTGGCTGGGAAGGAGGTGACTGCTTTTTGTGAGCATGTTGAGTTCAAAATGCTGGCCAGTCATGATTAAAATAAACAGCTGGACCACAAATATCCAGATGAGTCTGCCTCCAAGGTGTGCCTTTGACGGTCTTCACCGGCTGCTTTCAGGTGCCTGAGTGCTTAGTTGGCTTGCTTCCCTTTTCCCCTTGTGTTATGGGAGGCCGCTTTACATTGTACAGAGTGGCAGGGAGTAATGAGAAACTCTGTGTACTGGGGGGCATGTTGTCAGAGCCATTGTCAGAGCCAGTGGTTGATGGTTGTTGATGTGTGACAGCGCCTACTTGACAGGGACCAACTAGACCTTCCGTGATAATGCGCACACCTGTGTGACCCTCACCGCAGTACAGGATGGAACCTTCGGAACGTTTCTCTGACCACCGAAAGTTCCCTTCTGCCCCTTCCCAGTCCATCCCTACCCACCCCTGACACAAGCAAACATTTGGTACTGATTTCTATCATTATAGACTAATTTGGCCTATTCTCTAACTTTATATAAATGTAACAATAGAGAACATACAGGCAGTCCCCGGGTTACAAACCTCTGACTTACGTACAACCCGTCGTTACCTGTAGTTATGAACCAACCCCCGTAAAGTCTATTATATTAAAAGTTTGAGGTACGTACAAGGTTCGTAATAACAAACGGACAGTACTTTGTGACGAGCATCAAAACATTATTATTATTTTTACTGATTATTACGTTAAGGATGTTTTAATGTATCTGGAAGTGTTTCTTTAATGTTTTCTATGCATAGGAAGATACACTATATACTATACGCTAAGAGAAACATTTGACTAACTGACGTTAGATACCTAACTGTTCTGACTTAGGTACAAGTTCGACTTAAAGACACTCAGGAATAGAACTCGTTCGTAATCTGGTGACTGCCTTGCTGTGGATGCTCAGTAGTTCCATTTTATTGCTGAGTAGTTTTCCATTGTACATTCATACCCTAATTGGTTTACCCATTCACCTGTTGATAGACATTTGAGTTGTTTCTAGTTTCGGGCTATTAGAAATAAAGTTACTCTGGACATTCATGTGTAAGTCTTTTTGTAAACGAACATCATCATTTCTCCTGGTTAAATACCTAGGAGTGGAATTGCTGGGTCATATAGTTAGATGTGTGTTAAGCTTTAAATAAGAAATTGTCAGTTTTCCAGAGTGGATATAATGTATTCGTACAGCTCTTACCAGCAATAAGTGAGCGCTCTAGTTCTAAATCTTTGCTAATACTTAGCATTGACTTTCTTTTTGGTTTTAGCCATTCTAGCGGGTGAGAAGTGGTATAAAACCTGTTGCCGTTGAGGACGGAGTAGAACTGCTCCGTAGGGTTGTGGTTTACATTTGCATTTCTCTGTTAATTGATGATGTTGAACATCTTTTTCTGTGCTTTCGAACCATTTGTTTCATCCTCTCTTTTGAAGTGTCTGTTCAAATCTGTTGCCTATTTTCTTAAAATTAGGTTGTTGCATCTTATTACTAAGTTGCAGGAGTTCCTTATTTTGGATAAAAGACTGTTTTCAGATATGTATACTGCAAATATTTTCCCCTAGTTTGAAACTTGCATTTTCATTTTATAATGGTGTCTGTTGAAGACCAGTCTTAACTTTGGTGATGTTCAATTTACAATTGTTTCTAGAGTTCGTGATTTTTATGCCCTTAGAAATGTTGCCTTTTCCCTATGTCTTCTTCAAGCAGTCTTATCATTAGCTTTTACATTTAGGTCTATGATTCATTTCAAATATATTTTTCTGTATGGTGTGAGGTAGAGGTGGAGGTTATTTATTTATTTGCCATGCAGATATCTAATTGATTCAGTGCTACTTTTTGAAAAGACGGTCCTTTTCCCCTTGTCTTACCTTAGGGAAAATGCCAGAAATCAGTTTGCCGAGTGTGGGTTCTTTTCTGGGCTCTATATTGTCTCGTGTTCTGTTTATCTCAGCGGAGTTTTAATTGCGGCTGACTTTAGAGAGCGTGACTCCCTCCCCAGCCAAGCCCTGTGGCCTTTCTTTCTCAGGGGCCCAAGTGGACCAGTCTGTCTTTGAAGAGCTCATCAAGGAGCGCCTCCCCGAGCTGGCAGAGCACATGAATGACCTCTCTGCCCTGGCGTCCATTTCTCTCTCGTGGTTCCTGACGCTCTTCCTCAGCATTATGCCTTTAGAGAGTGCGGTGAATGTTGTAGACTGCTTCTTCTATGACGGCATCAAAGCCATCTTCCAGCTGGGGCTGGCTGTGCTCGAAGCCAACGCCGAGGACCTCTGCAGCAGCAAGGATGACGGCCAGGCCTTGATGATTCTCAGCAGGTGGGTTCTGACCACCTGCTTCTGTGGCAGACGGGACAGAGCGGGCAGCAGCTGGTCCTCCGGGAGACCTCGGAAGGGACAGCAGCAGGTGCCCAGCAGTGCCGTTGCTGCGGGAGATTTTTCAGTTCCACTCTGCCACTACCCTCCTGTCACCCTGTGGCCTCCTCACAGCCAGTCTGCCATGTGGCACTGTCACCAGCGTGTGGGTGAAGAGCACTGTCTTCCCTCACTCCTCTCCACCAAGTAAGAGTGCCCAGGAAGAGCGAGGGCTATGATGTTTTTCTTCAAGAAGATTCAGATGTCTCACGATGGCCTTGAATGGTGGGGACTCCAGGAAATGTTGGCTCCCAGCAGCTGACTGGATGTTTCAGGCTTTTTGTGTGTAGGAGCTGATGTGTTACAAGAAAGAAAAGTCAGACTAGGCTTAAGACTAAAACCTGGTTCTTTTGGAGCTGATGGCAAGTTAGAGGACGTTGAAGACGGGGATTCCCTTTAAGAATGGGCAAAGTGACGGTTCAGTGATAGAATTCTTGCCTTCCACTGTGGGAGACCAGAATTCTGTTCCCGGCCGACGCACCTCATGAGCAGCCACCACCTGTCGGTCAGTGGAATGGAGGCTTGCAGGTTGCTATGATGCTGAACAGGTTTCAGTGGAGCTTCCAGGCTAAGACAGACTAGTAAGAAAAGCCGGGAAGTCTATTTTCAAAAATTAGTATTATTATTAGGTGCCATCAGGTTGGCTCAAACTCATAGCAACCCTGTGTACAACTGAACGAAACACTGCCCGTCCCGTGCCATCCTCACTATCGTTGCTATGTTTGAGCCCATTGTTGCAGCCACTGTGTCAGTCCATCTTGTAGAGGGCCTTCCTTTTTTTCGCTGACCCTCTACTTTACCAAGCATGATGTTCTTTTCCAGGGACTAGTCCTTCCTGATAACATGTCCAATGTACAAAAATTAGCCAGTGAAAGCCCTACGGATCATAAAGATCCAGTGTATAAGCAATCATGAGGCTGACTCGGAAGTAGACAGTGTTTTGTTCCATTGTGCGTGGGGTTGCTATGAACCAGGGGCCAACTGGACAGCAGCTAACAACAGCATCCCTTTAAGAATACGATGGAAGCTTAAAGTTGCACGGATGCACAGAATTTTGTACTTCATTTCACTGGAGAATCATGAACTCCAGAAACCTGTCCTTGGAGCCCAGATTGACAAACTTGGCTTTATGGGCGTCTCTCCCTTTCTCTAAAGTGAGGACGTTAATTACCGACCAACTTGCCTTTTTCACATGGTATATGGAGTCAAATGAGCTGTGTTTGAAAGTGCTTCAAAATGCGTAAAGCTCCCCGTCAAGGTAGGAGGTGTTCTGTGGTTCCCAGACAAGGATAGCTGTTGCTGTTGAGTCAATTCCAAGAGTAGAACTGCCCCATAGGGTTTCCAAGGAACGGCTGGTGGATTCGAACTGCCGACCTTTTGGTTGGCAGGCTAGCTCTTAACCACTGGGCCACCAGGGCTTCAGACGAGGATAAGCCTGTGCCTTTACTGGGTATTGTGTCCAGGTTTCTAGATCACATTAAGAATGAGGAGAGCCCCGGGCCCGCAGGTGGCAGCCACCATGCCTTTTTCTCCGACGACCAGGAGCCCTACCCAGTGACAGACATTGCTGACTTGATCCGGGACGCCTACGAGGTAAGTAGAGTCCTGCCTCCGCATCCCCACCTCTGTCCCCGGAGAGCTTGTTTAGGAGATGGGCTTTGAGGGAGGATTCCCGGGTGACATCTTGTTTCTCTGTTTTTACGCAGAAGGGGATTCTGTAGTGAGTGAGCCCTTGTTTTCCTGCAGAAATTTGGAGACCAGTCCGTGGAGCAGATTGAGCACCTGCGCTGCAAGCACAGGATCAGGGTTCTCCAAGGCCACGAAGATACCACAAAGCAGAACGTGGTGAGTAGGGGACTTCTCAGAGTGGCCGCTTGCGTGGTCGGGAGTTCATCCGGGAGGGTGTGTGTGTGTGTGTGTGTGTGTGTCCCGTTTGGTCACGTGAAGTGAGAATGCCAGCTCCTTTTGCATTAAGTTAAAAATGTAAGAGGGGTGACTTGGTGTACGAACAGCATCGGGGGTGGAGTCAGACAGAGTGTGAGCACATTCAGCACTCAGCCTCAGTCTTCTCCTGTAAAATGGGAATACTCATCCCTACTGTGTAGGATAAAATGAGGTGTGATGCATGAAATGCCCACACAGATAGCCCGCAACAGGGGCTAGTTGTTATTCAGAGGGAAATTCCCATCCTAGCTTTGTCTTTGCTAGCTTTCCAACTCCCATCAGCACGTAAGCCATGTCCGGAGGCAGTATTGTGTGAACTGGAGGTTGAGGATAAAACCTGGGAAGGATGCGGCAGAGCGATCTTTGTGTCAGGAAGGACCGGAAGCTGCTCCAGGGGGAAAAGGAGCCGTGCTGTAGGGAAGTCAGTGTCACAGCACGCCCAGCGCTCCAGGCTGGGAGGAGAGCTTCCCCTCCGTGCTCTGATCCTTCCAGGCGTAGAATTCACTCCATCACTGTTCATTCTTTCCTGAAGCTCCGCGTTGTTACCCCGGAAGTCTCCATTCTTCCTGAAGACCTAGAGGAACTCTACGACTTATTCAAGGTATGGAAATGGGGGAAGATGAGGGGGTGAGGGGCCTGGAGCCGGGCCAGAGCCGATGCTGCCCAGCAGGCCTGGGCTGAGAGCGCGCAGATGCCACCGGGGTTGGCCTGTTCTGGGGCAGCAGGGGCTGAAGCTGCCCGCGCCTGCCAGCTGTCTTACCCACGTCAGCTCGCCTCTACCGAGAAGCTTCCTGACCTCACCCCTCTGTCAGCAGCTCCCAGATGGTCTGAACGTCCTGCCTGGAACCCAGCCCACGCCAGGGCCCTGGGAGGAATAAGGCAGGGTGGGCTCTGGGCGGCCCCGGGCAGGCACTGCGAGGCCACGCTCAAATGCTCCTGCCTGCACTTGCGCGAGAGTCTTGCTCTGCTGCTTAGGGTTCCAGTAAGCGTGGCACCGAGCCCCTGGGCTGCAGGAGATGGGACAGCAGCCTGTATTGAAATTATCATCTCATGTATTTTTTTAATGACTCCACAATACATGTACACATATTGTTATATTTGTGTGGCTGGTGTGCGTGCTAGTTTTATGCTCTGTTTTCCCTTTCTTCTGTTATTAACAGGTTTCCATGTTGCTTGTGGAGCCCTGGTGGCGCAGTGGTTAAGAGCTACGGCTGCTCACCGAAAGGTCAGCAGTTCGAATCCACCAGGCGCTCCTTGGAAACCCTATGGGGCAATTCTACTCCATCCTGTAGGGTCACTATGAGTCGGAATCGACTTGACACAACGGGTTTTGGTTTTATGTAGCTTTTTGTAGTCTTTATACTCTATCATGTTGGTAATAGTTAATACATTAAATCATATTTCTAATAGTTGAACGTTTAGGTGGATTCCCAGGTTTTGGTACTTAAATCACCCTGCAAAGAACATCTTCAGACATTTTGCTAGAAGTTTTCTTGCTTCAAACAGTAAATAAAAATGGGAGCAGAGAGGCGGACACATAGATCCACTGTTGATACCCTGACAGCGAAGGAGGAGGAAAAATTGCACAAACCAAGTACAGCGTTGAAGAGCGTATGGCCTCTGGTGATGGAAAAATTTGGGAACGGTTAATGGTGATGGCTGAACGTGGGAAACACGATTAATGTCACCGAACCGTACATGGGAAGGTTGTCGAAATGGCAAATGTTTTGCTACCTATATATTTACCACAATGAAAACAAATTAATTATTCAAAAAAGAAGAAGAAGAAGCACTGCTCCGGGGGGAGCTCTGAGCCTCTTTCACTTTTGAACTCAAATTGGCAGAATCCCTGAAATAGAAATGCTCAGTATTTGGGTCCTCGTGAAACAGAGCCTCCCTCGGTTGCTGGAAGCCGTGGCGTACCTGGGGGGCGTGTCTCCTACAGTCTCTAAATCGAGTTGTTGGGGTCCGTATTTCCTGGCACGCCTCGCGTGTGATAAGCAGGATGTGTGGCGAGAACTGCCCGGGCCCACGTCTCCCGTCAACATTACCTGTTTACAAGCTTTATCGTTTCCCTTGTTGCGTGAAGATAAAATATGAAGTCAGAGGTCACCAGGCCTCCCATCCCCCCAGCCTCTCTGGGGCCTTCAAGGAGGAAAAATAGGGAATTCTGGGAGCAAAAGAGCAGGTAAACAAATGACGTGTTTTGAAGCTTAAAGTCTTTCATTTATTCAGTGCTTTTCTGCTAAGTATAAATATAAATACAAAAAAAAAGACCCCAAACTCTATAAATACAAGATATTTTTCAAAATGCACCTCCCAAGGAAACCCAGGTAGAATAATCAGGTTGTCTAGTTTGGTTTGTGCAAACGGGGTGCCTGCCTTACACACCCATCTCAGCACCTCACTCCCTTCCAGCCCCAGCTCCAGCGTCGCATCCCACTGACAGCCTTCGCAGCCCGTTCCATTCCCCCACAGTCCGACTCCTCCGAATTTCCGTGGTCAGGACTTCACTTGTTTAAGTACCGAGGAACCCTGGTGGCGCAGTCATTAAAGCGTTTGACTGCTAACTGAAAGGTCGGTGGTTTGAAACCACGGGCAGATGTGACAGTCTGCTTCATCCCGTAAAGATTTACAGCCTTGGAAACCCCATGGGGTCGCTATGAGTTGGAATCGGCTCAACAGCAGTGGGTTTTGGGTTTAAGTACTGTGGAGTATGTTGTTCTCAAGTTGGGTTTTACACGCACATCTTGTCTTTTGAACCAGAATTTCCTTTTCTCAAGGGAAGGGGCCACATAGAAATGCCCTTCTAATGTTTTATAAACATACGATAGGTTCTTCTTTCGAAGAGATTGTTTTATTGTGGTAAAAACATGTATGATAAAATATCTGCCATTTCAGCACATTTCAGCGGTGCTGTGCAACCGTTATCACTCCCTGTGTTTCAGACGATTCCACCACCCTTACCAGAAACTCAGGGCCCCCTAAACGGTCACGACTCCCCTTCCACCCATGGTAACCATCAATACACGTTGGTCTCTAAGTATTTGCTGATTCTAGATTTTTCCTATAAGTGGATCATGCAATATTTATCCTTTGGTGACCGACTTGTTTCATTCGACGTGATGTTTTTAAGGTTCATCCATGTTGTCACATGTATCAGAACTTCATTTCTCTCTATAACTGAGTAACATACTGTTGCATGTATATAATGTATTTTGGGTATCCATTCATCTGTTGATTGCATCTTTTGGCAATTGTGAACAGTGCTGCAGTGAATGTTGGTGTGATGTCTTCTTCTTTTTTAATAATTTATTGTGTTTTCAGTGAAGGTTTACACAGCAGTTGAGGTTCCCATTCAACAGTTTCTACACAAGTTGTTCAGTGATGCTGGTTACATTCTTCACCATGTGTGAACATTCTCATTATTTGCATTCTGGTTGTTCTGTTTCCATTAATCTAGTTTCCCTGCCCCCTTACATTCTCATCTTTGTTTTAAAGTCATTGTTGACTGTTTGGTCTCATATAGGTGATTTTTTTAAAGGAGCACAGTACTCATGAGTGATGTTGCTTATTTTGTGAGCCAGTGTATTATTTAGCTAAAAGGTGACCTCAAGGGTGAGTTTCAGTTCAAGGTTTAAAGAGTTGGTGTGATGGTTCTTAATAATGAATCGATGCCTTCATTCATTCCATCCTCAGGCCTGGACTGTATAGGCATGAACATTCTTTATGTTAACAACAAACAGCTCTGATCATCTTCTTTAAATCCTTTTTCTGGTAGAAGTGAACAATGTGATTGGTGCTTAACGAAAGGCATTTTTACATCTGTGGATTCAACCAACCGCGGATGGAAAATATTTGGAAAAAAAATGTTCTGTTGTTGCTGACATGCTGTAGACAGTTGCGTCTGTACTGAACACGTAAAGGTTTTTTCTTGTCCTTATTCCCTAAGCAGTACAGTATAACAGCTATTTACGCAGCATTTACATCGTCTTACGTATTGTAAGTAATCCAGCTGTTGTTGTTGTTAGGTGCCATGGAGTCGGTTCCAATTCATAGCGACCCTATAGGCCAGTTTAGAGCTGCCCTCATAGGGTTTCCAAGGAGCAGCTGGTGGATTTGAACTGCCAACCTTTTGGTTAGCCAGTGAGCTCTTAACCACTGTGCCACCAGGGCTCCCTAAAGTAATCTAGAGATGATTTATTAAAGTATATAGGAGGATGTGCCTAGGTTATATGCAAATACTACGCCCTTTTATATAAGGGACTTGAGCACACGCAGATTTTGGTATCAGGGGTCCTGGAACCAATCCCCCGCGAATACCAAGGGATGACCGTACTGCTAAAGTACCTTCCAGATGTTTGATTTTGCAAATTACAGCTCCACTGGGTGTCTAAGAGTGTTCCCTTCCCCACCCTCCACGCCCCTCCAGCATTCGATATCACTGATCTTTTAAGCTTCTGCTAGTCTGGTGGAAAATTGCGTTTCATTTTAATCTGTTTGTTCACTAGTGAGGATGAGCACCTTCTCCTAATTGTACATTTCTCTGAATCACCTGCTTATATCCTTCGTCTGTTTTTCTATTGCTTTGTCTTGCTGTGGGAGTCTTTGTAAAGTAGCTGTTAGTCCTTGGCCGGTAGATCACAACTGTCCTTTTCTGGGTAGCATTTGGTAGGTCTTCAGCCTCACAGTATGTACAGATGCATATGAAAATTTATAGCGTGCTTTGGATTTTTAGGAATAGGAGTTTATTAGATCTTTATTTCACACATAAAAGTTCTTCTGGTACTTTTTACGATTCTGCAAAGGCTGTTTAAAGAATATGGGCTACTGACAACAAATGGTGTTCTGGTTTCCATCCAAGGATGTGTACTTACATATTAGAGCATCTGCACTTGTTTCTGTCCCATCTTTACGGGCAGAGGGTATTGAAATTTCGAAGAGCCCAGTAGTCATTGGGAACCATTTCAGGCTTTTGTGAACTGAGGTGATTGAGGATGGGTCTACGTGATGCATTCTAAAGGGGCCGTCCTGGTCCTTAGAGGCTGGGGCAGACTGGGTCTTTCCTTTTTAGTCTATTCCCAATACTTCAAATCTCCTCTTTTTTTAAGCTTTTTTTCTTTTAATTTTTTAAGCTGCTAATATGCTCATATGACTCAAAATTCAGAAACGATAAAAGTATAGAGTAAAAAGTCTTGCTGTCACCTCTGGGTCCTACCCTTTCACTTCTCCCCACAGATAACTGGTGTTACTAGTTTCTTCTGTATCTGATAGATTTCTCTAGTACTTTCTGATTTTCAAATAATATGATTTTGAGTGAAAATAGCAGAATGAAAATTGTATCTCTTCTATAATTAAAACTGTGTCAAAATTACACAGATAACCAGTGTTCCTAGTTTCTTCTTTAGCCTATAGATTTGTCTAGTAATTGTGATTTTCAGACAATATGATTCCAAGTGCTATAGCAGCCCTGGTGGCGCAGTGCTTAAGAGTTCAGTTGCTAACCAAAAGGTCGGCAGTTCAAATCCACCAGCCGCTCCTTAGATACCATATAGGGCGGATCTACTCTGTCCAATAGGGTTGCTATGAGTTGGAATCAACTCAACGGCAATAGGTTTTTTGTTTTTTTTGTGCAGTAAAGAGCCCTGCTGGCACAGTGGTTAAGTGCTCAACTGCTAACTGAAAGGTCAGCAGTTCGAATCCCCTCTCAGCCACTCTGAGGGAGAAGGACGTGGTGATCTGTTACCATAAAGATCACAGCCTAGGAAACCCCAAGGGGCAGTTCTCCTCTGTCCTGTGTGGTCGCTCGGAGTCGGAATCAACTCGGTGGCACACAACAATCACAACAAAAGTGACAACAGCCGAATAAAACCTGTCTCTCTTCTACAAGGAAAACTGCGTCAAAATTACGTACTCCCATGGGCAACGACTCCACGGAGGGAAAATTTTACCTATCTGATTGGAGTGGTGAGATTGTGAATAATTTTCACTGTCTCTTTTTCATTTGTTCATGTTGTTATAACATTGCTTATGCAATAAACAACCATTTTAAGTGGCAAAGAAGGCCCAGGGGAGGGCCTTGCTGGTCAGCCTGGGCTTTGTGCACGCTGCCCCCCGTGGGAGCAGCCGTCTCACGGATCCCTTCTCCCTCTTGTTCTAAGCGGGAACACATGATGAGCTGTTACTGGGAACAGCCCAGCCCTGCGGTGCAGCGCCATGACCCCAGCAGGCCCTACGCGGAGCAGTACCGCATAGACCAGCAGCAGTTTGCAAACCTGTTTAAGCTGGTCTCCCCGTGGACCTGCGGGGCCCACACGGAGATCCTCGCCGAAAGGACGTTTAGGCTCCTGGATGACAACATGGACCATCTCATCGAATTCAAGGGATTCGTTAGCTGTCTGGGTACGGCTCTGGGGGTCCTCATTGCAGTGAGTTGGTTTGGGGCGTGAGTCTGAACAGAAGGCAGAGTGGATTGTGTAGCCGGCAGACCCACACCATGTAATGCGTTCGTGACTGGCCTGGGTGGCTGTGGTTTTAAGTCTCACTCTGCAGCCTTCTCTGAGGGCCACCTTTATGCTCCCTTGTGGGGAGGGACACAGGGTGGAGCTCTCTGCAGCTCTCAGGACACGCGGTCGGCCTTGTTTTCCTCGGCACCCAGAGGGTGGTGGTTTGGCTTGTTAGGGCCACATTCTTAACCTTTTCACGTAAAACTGAAACCTTCCAGAAGGAGCGAGGCCAGGCAGAATCCACGAGGTTACCTTGTGGCTTAACCATCACTCATTGCTGCCCTTAAAATTCGAATTTCATAATCAAAAGAAGCAGTGAAGCTCTTTCCATTGTGAAAAATCAAATGTATCAATAACTTTTAAACGTACGCTAAAAAAGGAGTAAGGTACCAAAGTACTAAAAAGCGTCAAAAGTAGACAAAAATGAGAATCATTTGTCTTGACATAACATTACTACAGTGTCTCATATAATTCCCACATTTACCGTATGAAGTATGTAATAATAATGATGATAATGGAGAAAAAGTTTTGTGCTGTGTGGAGAACTATGTAATATCTGTAGCACGCTATTGCAGGTTATCTAATTTTGCTTCTGTGGGAGCTGTTTGAAACCCTGGTGGCACAGTGGTTAAGAGCTCAGCTGCTAACCAGAAGGTTGGCATTTTGAATCCACCAGCTGCTCCTTGGAAGCCCTATGGGGCAGTTCTACTCTGTCCTATTGGGTCACTATGACTCGGAATTGACTTGATGGCAATGGTTTTTTTTTGGGGGGAAGCTACTTTACAACTTGGTAGGTTATAGATAACTAATAGCAATGCCAAGTGATTCTTGTCTCTAGACGAGTCTGTAAATTCTGTCCAGTGAAGGGCCAGTCGGTTTCTCTCCCTCCCGTAGAAGGGGCCAGTTTCCCTTCACCTCACCATTTTTAATATTCCTCATCTATAGATGGTCTGTTCTCTGACCTGACTCTCCTTTGAACTGGTTGAACCATCTCACTAGCTTCCCCGTTGAAGAGTTAGGTGAAATCTTTAACAGGTCAAACACACACACAGAGACGAAACAATTCCTAACTGCAAACATGGCGTGTGTCTGGGGGCCGGGAGCCGCGAGCCTTGAGCTCAGCGAGTTTGTGTCGTGACAGATGTGCTGTGGCTATTTACAACTTCTTAGTATCCTCTTTTTAAATTTTTGCAGATATTATGTATAACGGAGAAATGAATGAAAAAATTAAACTGCTGTATAGGCTTCATATCCCTCCAGGTAAGAATCCCAAGTAGGAAAGTTATGGCTCTGCCCTAACACGAGGTCTGCTTCCTTTAGGACTCCAATGCTCTTCTCATTTTAAATTCCACTAAGACTCAAGGTAGTGAATGTTTCTCGTTTGGGGATGGCAGGTCACACCATTTTCAGTACTGCACGGCCTATGGCGTTGGTTCTCAAACTTCAGTGCACCTCAGAGTCACCTGATGGGCTTGTGAAAACCGGGGGACTTAGCCCCACCCCCAGAGTTTCTGACTCACTAGGTCTCTGAGAGGGCCTGAGAATTTGTGTGTCTGATAAGTTCCCAGGTGATGTTGGTGCTGATCGGTGGACCACACTGAGAACCACTGACCTGTGGAGTGGTGGGGAGTCAGGTCCTGGTGACCTGAAGTAGATGCTTATGTCAGGCTACTGTTTTAAAGGACCATTTCATTTACCCAGCATGCAACGCCATGCTTCCTTCAAATGGAAGCAGTGGTAACCAGGAACAGAGGACGCTGGTGGTTCTGTGGTAGAATTCTCACCTTCCATGCAGGGAACTTGGGTCATTCCCAGCCAGTGCACCTCGTCTGCAGCCACCGTCTGCCTGTCAGTGGAGGCTTGTGTGTGCAGTGATGCTGACATGCCGGACAGGCTTCAGCAGAGCTTCCAAACTAAGACAGATTACGAAGACAGTCCTGATCTCCCTCCGAAAACCAGCTCCTAAAAACCCTGTGGATCCCAACTGTCTGATCCGCAGCCGATCACGGGGATGGCGCAGGACTGGACAGCGTTTAGTTCTGTTTCACGTGGGGTCGCCGTGAGCTGAGGGCCGACTCGATGGCAGCAAACAGCAGCCAGGAACAAAGGAAGCCGTGGAGTAGCCTGAGAGAGCAGACCTAGCGTTAGCAGGAAAACCTTCAGATATTCCTTGGATCTTTAAAACTAATAGAGCTGAATTAGGAATCCCAGAGGGTCTCTGGATCCCAGTGCCAGGGTGTGGCCTGCGGATGGATGGACCCTCTGACAGACCTTCCCCACGAGGGAGCCTCAGGAGGCTGGTGGGCTGTGAGGAGGTTTTAGGTGCCACAAGATCGTGGTGGCTCTTACAACGGTGGGAACGTATACGAAAGGTGACGTTATTTGTGGGCTTTCTGGGTATGCTTCCTGAATTCAGTCGTTACTGAAGGGGCATGTGATAATTTATGCCCTTTATCCCCAGAGAGTGCTCTGCCTGCGGCCACACGCGGCTTCTCACCAACCTGCCCACAGCCTCAGTGTGACTTTATCTCAAATTGTGCAGCGTCTGAGAATTCTTTGCTCTTTTATGCCAATGTTATTGAGTTGTATTTCTTATTTAACTTGCCCTTATTTTTCACAAATATTTTTCTGTTAATGGAAGATAGGCATAATTGTTCCTGTATCGTCATAACATCACCATCTTTTCATAATCTTCATCATCTCTAACTGGTATCCAAAACAAACAGAAAGACCTGTTGCCATCCGTTAGATTCTGACTCATAACCACGCCATGTGTTTCAGAGCAGAACTGCTCCATAGGGTTTTCAAGGCTGTGACCTTTCAGAAGCAGATTGCCAGGCCTTTCTTCTGAGGCACCTCTGGGTGGGTTTGAACTGCCAAGCGCTTGGTTAGTTAAGTGCTTATCCATTTGCTCCATGCAGGGACTCCCTATACAATATCAGGCGTTCCTAAATAGAGCATGATTGATTTTGTTATTTTACTTAAGTACAGTATCTTGAAGGAGCCCTGGTGGTGCAGTGGTTAAGCGTTCAGCTGTTAACCAAAAGGTCGGCAGTTCGAATCCACCAGGCGCTCCTTGGAGACCGTGTGGGGCAGTTCTGCTCTGCCCTGTAGGGTCCCCATGAGTCGGAATCGACTCGACGGCAACGGGCTTGGTTTGGTTTGGTCACTGTTGGTACTTAACCAGCCCCCTTCCTGGACGCTCGCCCACCCCGAGTTAATTGCTGCTCTCTGTGCTCCCAGGACACTTGTGTGTTGGTTCTTCCATTGTGGGGTTTTGTTAGAATGACTTGTGTACACATTTCTCCTTGGTACACCCAGCTTGTGAGGGTAAGGACCCAGTCTCCTCTTAGCGCCCAAGTGGCTATTCCCGAGAGGCCCATCCCCGTTGTTACTGTGTCTCAGGTGCCATTCAGGGTCTCAGCGGATTCTCCTATGTGCCACTGCTTAGAATTCATTTTGGACAGAGCTGTGAAAGAATGACCTAATATCATCACTATGGAAAAAAAACCAACCAACAGAAAAAATAAAACATACCAAAAAAGAAAAACACCTCCTAAGTGGGAAGGGAGGTGGATCATCAAGGCTTTGGTGCCATCATGTGGATATTTGTTGAATCACAACTGGATTTTGCCTTTGATTTATTCAGTGAATGGCTTATGAGTAAATTCCAACCTTTTAAAATCTGGTGACTCTTTGTCTGTCATTCCCCCTTGTGATTGTGATTTTTTCTTGTAATAGCTTTATTGACCTATAACTCACATACTGCATTTACTGACCTCTTAATTCACATACCACACATACACTTCACCCAGTTAGAGTGCACAGAGTTCAGTGGTTGTCAGTATATTCACAAGTTGTATAACCATCATCACAATCAATTTGAGAACATTTTCTTCACCCCAAAAAGAAACCCCATACCCTTTAGCCCTCACCCTACCCTCCCCCTCCCCCACTGCCCTCAGTGCCGGGAAACCACTATTTGCTTTTTGTCTATATAGATTTGCCTGTTCTGGACATTTCATAGAAACGGGATCATACTCTGTAATCCTTTGTGTCTGGCTCCCTTCACTTAGCGTGCTGTCTTCAGGGTTCATCCACATCGTACCATGTGTCAGAACTTCATTTTTCTTTGTGGGTGAACAATATTCCATTACACGAAGCTACCACATTTTGTTTATGGCTTTTTGGATTATTTCCCCATTTGTCTATTGTGAACAATGCTGCTGTGAACATTTGTGTACAAGTTTTCTGTGGAGACATAGGTTTTCATCTCTCTTGGGTATATACCCAGGAGTGGAACTGCTGGGTCAAATGGTAACTGTGTTTAACTTTTTGAGGAACCCTCAGACTGTTTTCCACAGGGGCTGCACCATTTTACATTTCAACCAGCAGTGTATGAGGGTTCCAATATAATTATAGTTTTAATGTTTCAAGGAAACTCTGAAAATGCCCCCTTTGAATTTAATAAAGCTGTTTTTCTTTTTTTTTTTAGAAAGTATGTAAGTGTAGTAGTACATGGTCATTACAGAAAAATAATACCATGAAAAGGGTAAAAATTATTACCTATAACGCTGCCATTCAGAGATTTTGTGTATTTATTTTTAGAGTTTTTAATATGTGTGTGTATACACGTGTGTACATAATGCTGCTATGAACATTTGTGTACGTTTATATATATTTATGTATGTGTGTGTGTGTATAGACACCAAAACAAAACAAAAAAACCAACCCCCTGCTGTTGAGTCTATTCTGACTGATAACTACTCTGTAGGACGACAGAATAGAACTGCCCTATAGAGTTTCCAAGGCTGTAATCTTTACAGAAGCAGACTGCCACATCTTCCTCCCGCAGAGCGGCTGGTGGATTTGAACCGCCAACCTTTCAGTTAGCAGTCGAGTGCTTTAACCACTGCACCACCACACCCACATATTTTAGTTTTACAAAGTAGGATTTTTCTATATATCCTTCCAGGTCAGCATCAGCAATGTCTTTCTGGAGTTTGTGTACTGTTAATCAGAGCAGTACTGACGTGCTTTTGGGAGAAGGCGTACTGAGCTCTGTAAGGCGTCTTAATTGCTCGGTGTATCCAGACAATGCCTGGTTTGCATTTGGGTTCCTGGACCAGGCAAAGACTCTGTAACCCAGATTGGGAGCTGCTTAGACTTTAGTTCTTCCTTGCCTTAAAAAGTAAATTACTCTCAGTTTTGATTAGAGAGAAGCTCCTGTTTAACTTTTTTTTTCTTTTTTTGTTTTTAAAGCACTCACTGAAAATGACCGGGACAGCCAGTCACCGTTAAGGAATCCTCTGCTGTCGACTTCGAGACCCCTGGTTTTTGGGACGTCACATGGCACGTACTGCTTCTCACTGTCCCTCTCCCGCTGGGCAGGCCGCTGCAGCCGCTGACCTCAGCAGCTTCTCCCTGTAGCCGCCTTGTCTCTCCCCTCCCTGCTCCCTCCGTGAGTTCAAACCCAGCCCACCGCCTTCAGAAGCCAGAAACCTTCCAAGTTCAGGTGTTGTAGGCGATTGCCCTCTACCCTCCCGCCATGTTCTTCCTCCGGCTGAGTGGTTTCCTGGGTCCTCTTGTAGCGAGAGAGGTCGCCCAGCTCCCACGCCGTCCCTAGTCGTCAGTAAAACAGACCGTTTCTCAGTACTCAGCTCTCAGTCAGTCTGTGGAATTCACTTAGTGGGATCCGGTCCCTTCACCGCGACATTCTACGGTTTTCCTTGATCTTGTTTAGATTATCTGTTGTGTTTTCCTTTGCCTCAAGGTGATGTAACTGATTATCAGAAACAGCTGAAGCAGATGATGAAGGATTTAGCCAAAGAAAAAGACAAAATGGAGAAAGAGCTGCCCAAAATGAGCCAGGTACGAGGTTTGATCTGTGCAGAGAACAAACTGTTTTGCCAAACGACTTGTGTAGGGGCGAGGTTTGATAATGAGGCACAGGCTCCTTCGAGCTCCAGGGCCGTAATTAAAAGCTGTTGTAACTTCTGTGACATGAACATTGCGGTAATGAAATGGGAATATTTAGACTGTGGTCAATGCAGATATTCAAAGGCATTCCATATATTCTCTATGTATGTATTCCAGATAGTCAAAGCTCTTGTAACAGAAGGCTGCTACACCTTTTGTGTCTTTGAAGACTTTTTATATCCAATTCATTTACCTGGGTGGTGGTGAAGATTTATTCCCTTTGGTGATAGAAGTACATTGGGGACGTGGGGACTGTGGACACAGCATTCTTCCCTAGAAAATATTAGTGCACACACTCGATTTTCTTGAAAATCATTGACCACCGGATACACAGTACCGACACGAATCTCCTAACTTCTGAGCATTTCTAGTTAAGGGTTCTGTGCTGAACTCAGGTGCCACGTGGTGAGAACAGGTGGTGGTTTTTTCTCTTTTTTGAAAAGGGTCCTTCCAGCGTTTGGGAAACCAAAAAAACTAAACCCACTGCCGTCGAGTCGATTCCAACTCCTAGCGACCCTAGAGTGTGGGCTCGAAGTTGCAAATGCTCTTTTATCTTAGGACTGAGACATTTTCAGAGCTCGTGTGTACTGTGAGTCTTCGGGAGGGGAAGGCAGCATGCTTCTCAGCCTGTTTCTTCTGGAAGCCTGCTGGGCCGCCCACCTCTTCAGGGGAGTTACCTTCAGGTTTTCCTTCCACCCTTAGGTGTGGGACAGACAGCTAAGTCGCGTCACCCAAAGCTGTCAGGATTCACATTCTGATTTACATTCATCTTTTTTACCAATGTTTTAAATAAAAATGGGGTCACACTGTTGACTACCGTGCTTTCATTTACTTCAAAATAATCGTGGCTGTTTTCCCCACATCATGACATACGCTGTCAGACCAGTTTGTTCCCAGACTGACCGAGCAGCGGAATCTCGCCGGGGCACCTCATCACAGGAGCCTCGCTTTAGGCAGGAGAGTGCTGTCGCCTGGTCTCCTCCATCGTGTCAAAACCTGTGTCTTTGCCCGCTATCCCCGCCAGATAAACATCTGTCATTGTATTTAATCCTAGCATTTAAGCCGTTTCCGACTTTTTCCTGTTAGAAACTCTAGCTCTGGGTTCTTCTGGAAGCATTTCTACAGGTCGACTTGCTGGGTCAAAGGGTGTCGTCATCCCCTGGGATGGCCTGTAAGCTTTACTGCCTAGAAGTTGCCGTACTGACAAGCAACCTTTCCGAGTGTGCTGAATTCCCTGACGTTGCCTTCCATGTTTCCACAATGGACGGGCAGGTGACCTTTCCTTTCCTTCTGCTGCTTCCAAAACACATTAGGTGGATTTTTCCCAAAGAACTATAGTTTTTAAAATGCCACATTGTGCTTTCATCCTGGCTATGCTGCCACATATGAACTTTTTCTTTAATTCCAGAGAGAATTTATCCAGTTCTGTAAAACTCTGTACAGCATGTTCCACGAAGACCCGGAAGAAAACCATTTGTACCAGGCCATTGCCACAGTGACCACGCTCCTGCTGCAGATCGGCGAAGTGGGGCAGTGCAGCAGCTCCTCCGGAAGCTTCTCCCAGGAGGCAGCTGAGGACCTGCGGGCTCCAGCACCTTCTCCCGACCAGGACTTGGTTTTCGCCGACCCCGGGTCCACTCCCCAGGACTCCCGAGCATTTCCCGAGGAGGCAGGAAGAGGAGATTGGACAGTCTCTCTTGAACATATTTTAGCATCCCTTCTGACTGAACAATCGTTAGTGAACTTCTTTGAAAAACCACTAGAAATTAAATCCAAACTTGAAAACGCCAAGATCAGTCAGTACAGCCTCAAAACCTTTGAAATGAGCCGCCACTCTCAGCCTGAGCTCAAGCTGGGTAACCTGTAGCGAGGGCCGCTTGCTGGAGCCGACCGGAGCCCACCGTACCAAGGCAGGGACCGCGGACTGTTCCTGGGGTCGTCAGCCCACGAATCCAGGTCTTAGTCTAGTTCCTGTGGAGTCCACTTTACAAACCAGGTGTCTGGACAGAGCAACTCGACAGCCGGATCTGTGCCCAGGGAAACTGAGGCAGCCCTCAGACATTTGTTTATTCAAGATCAACTGGACCTTGCCAGCGGTATAGGGTGTCCATCCAACAGTCCATTTGATGTCGTGGCTTACAGATTTACTCTTAGCAGATGTGATGAAGGGCACTTCTGATGCCATGCTAGTATGGGTTTGTTCCTCATGTGGGTTAGTCACTGTCCTCCACAGGAGACAAGCCCCCATGTTCTTTTTCCACTTGGAATGATGGGTGGGATTTTAGTCAAGCTCACGCTCAAGGTCTGAGAGCACTATCTGTGCAATTGTATTTGGCTTTTTTTTTTTGCACTGATTTTGTTTCAATGCTGGTAATTGAAACCATTTTAATATATTTGGTTGTATTCACTTTGTATGCCCTTCCAAAAATGTCGTGTGCAAACCATGCTTTCGACGTTGGCCTTAAGTTTTTTAATAAGAAATTTTTGTATTGACTTGGTCCTTTTCTTTCACATTTCAGCGTCTTAAGGTCTGGACTGTTCCTACCCTCACCAGGCCCAACTGAACTGTCAGTGACTAGGTGAGCTGGACAGACTTCTGGGCCACCCCCCACACTCAGTGGACAGTGACAGTGTCAGTGGGCATCAACCCCACCTTGGCTGTGCTGGACAGTCACCCACAGGGCGGGACCTCTTTAATAAACATCAGCAGTGGAACACCTAGCTTCAACAGCTGAATTTAACAGCAAGGATTTGTTCCTGTATCACGAGATACGTTACCGCTGAGCCTCGGCTCCACGTGAAGTGGGACTAAAATACCTCGTAGGCTATGCCGAATAACTGAGCTGAACTAGCAATTCAAGTTCTCACATTAAGTCAAACATGGTGTCTTGTTAACTCATCAAAATCCAATTATTCTAAGACTGTTTTCTACCTTTTTGACAGATACTCTATAGACGCAGGCAGAAGCTTAAAGATGTTATCACCGTGTTTAAGATGCTATACATGGCACCGAGTAGTTGTTAAAATGTTAAAAGCGGCCAATGAACACGCAAGTAAAAGCATTAACATACCTCCAGTTTCCCAACTACCCAGGACAATGGTCTTAAACCAGGTTGCACTTCAAAACTGCCTTAAAAACCACTGCTTAGGTACCTTCCAAACGTTACGTAAATTTGCCCTCCAATGTGCCTTTAAACTAATGGAACCGTTCCTACCTGCAACAAATCCTTCATCAGTCAGCTCCACCTGCTGCGTGTGCAGTTTTTAAATCACTGGAAGGGCTTCTAGCCTTCTTGCAAAGGCGAGATAAAACCATACGCACCTGAAGTGCCTAAAATTCTTAAAGACAGCTGGGAACGGAGCTCGTTTGTTACCTGGAGACTGCCTGGACTCAGACTCTCGTGGTAGGGCGGTGAGCCTGTTGTTAGATGTGCTGATTCTGGCTCACAGCGACCCCATGTGACGGAGCAGAA